ATAATATATATATATATATATAAGTTATTCTTTTTGCCAATTGTCGAAATAAATGGCTTTTACTTATATTTCTTAATAATATAAATATGTACTATGTCGTTGTTAGGCTTAGGATTCTTCTACAGTACGTGTTTGTGACTTGTTGACGATAAATTCAATGATGAATAAACCGCACACACTTTATTTGTTTTCAAATAATATATATATTCGGAACAAGTTAAACGTATGTACAACAGTCTTCACACTATATAGATTATAGCCATATCATAAACACTATATATATATAGTTCTCTTCTTGTTGTCAAAAGTACACTTAGGCCTATTCAGTTACTTTAGAATTTCAGTTGACAAGTCGAACTATCTTCTCTGTATTACTATCGTACTAGTATTCTGTGTGTGATTCACTTACAGTTGTGGTGCTAGTTATCGTAATTCATTTGGTCTTCTTTTTTCTGAAGATCCTCTGTTCCTTTTATCAAAAAGCACCCAGACTGATTCAATTACTTTAGAACCATGCTTTGATGGAATAAAATTATCCTTCTTATCTTTTTTATACTGTTAGTTTCCCTCCAACACATTAAACGTTAGGCCTATAACCTTTGCGGTACTTAACTTCACACTACTATATTCTATTTTGCTATTATCTGTCTACTGTTGTCTGTCTGTTGCTTTCCCCTAGTCTCACGCCATTTATATCTTTATTATATAGTCATCTGGCCACTTTCTATATTCTCGACACGAATTAGTTATTAACAAAACCTTCTACAATTGTCTGCTTTTAACTCTTATTATAACAAAGCTTAAAAATAATAATATATTCACTCACAAATATAAGTTAATCACTAATATTTAAACCAAACAGTCTTTTATATCATGACAACTAGCTTATACTACTTCTTAGAGGCCTATAAATAATTGTTTTTTTTTTACCAAAATTAAGCACGACCTGACTTTTCTAATATTTAAATATTCTAACCAAACACGGAAGCAGAGGTCTGATCATAAACAACGCTGTAGTAAGTACTTTTCTAGAGTTGTATATTAAATATCAATTGTTTTGTGTTTCAGGTTCTGATAGCCTCGGATCTTCTGAGGACGAATATGCCCGAATCTATGGCCGTCTTCGTGGTCCAGCACACCATCATTATCCTCCTCGAGAGATGTATCAGAGAAAGTGGGAATAAGTTGTCAAAAGAGAGCAAATTGAACACTGTTGGCTCACATCTCTTCACGTATATCTTCTGGGTCTTGAAGGCAGGTCCACTTGACATGTACCTTCTGGGTCTTGAAGGCAGGTCCACTTGGAGATGTGCAGAAGCTTATTCTGTCTCTGTCTTATTTATTCATGTTAAAGTTCTTATCATGCGAATTTCTTAGTGTTTTGGGAACTCTTCTGTCATGGTTATGTCAGTTTAAGCAAGTTATAAATTGGGTAATTTAAATACACATGACCTTCTTTTACTTATTTTCATCTTCATGTGGGAAGCGCAGGTAGAGGTCGCCGAATATATGTGCTTACTTATGTCTTAGTTTTAGTTTGTCACGGATTCTAAGTGCCCTCCCCCCCCCCAAAAAAAACAAAACAAGAAAGTAGTGAGTACTTTTAGCTTTAGTATAGAAATATATTTCTTTGCTTGCATACAACGGCAGATCTGGAGGAAGCCATTTTTGGGCCCTGTGAAGTTTGTATATACTTGTATAATCTTAGTGGCTTCCCAGTGGCGCCCACTAGTGGCTTCAAGGTAGGCCCAGATGCAGTGAAGGGGAATTTTTGTGGCAGCCGCAGTTACAGTGTTTGGATACTGTGTATTTTTGTTGTCCTCAGAATAGAGAGTCGTACGACAATGGTTACGATGTCATTACGTGATGTACAATGAACCGTATAATCACAGCTCTCATTGCAACCATCCCGTGTACCAAAGAGACTGATTCATCATAACCCTCATGTTACTATTTCATCGTAAGTTTTATAATATTTTTATAGTAATACATAAAGTTATCTTTTGTTTGTTGGAGAGGAAACGGGTAAAGGAAAAATTACAACTTTAACTGAAATTCTGTTCTTTTAAATATGGCTTACTTTTCTGAGTTGTACTAGATGGACATTAATCCCTTGTTTAACATATGGGTACACTCGATACGCTCACTGTTACTATTCCCATGTGAAAGTGTGCTATGTTAAGTGTTTTTCACACTGATTCCAATGATTTTTAAGGACTTTCTTCAGTGAAACATACAATCAAATATTTGATATTTTCTCAAATGTTTCATTGTTCCTGGAAATTCAAAATGACAGGTCACGAACAGGTTAAAGATGAATATTTGAGCTAAAATAGAATTTTTGTATTGAAATTCTCAACTTTTTTTAAGTTGAGTTTTTTTACGGACTTCTTCCTCCGTTGATTCTCTTAGTGAACAAAGTTCAGTCCTGAGGACGAAATTGATAAAGAGTCTGATTCGTCGTCCACCACACAAAACCTAGACAGGAGCAAACTATTCAATCTCTAGGTCCTATAGATAGTGTGTTTTTATAAATGAAATATAACTTTTTCGCCACTTTGTACACAACACACTTAGCGTGCATTGAAAATTCAATGAATCGATGATCTTTACCAGTGAACTTAAAATGTTTTAAAAAAATCATTTGGTACTAAAACAGTTCTTTTCATCACTATAAAAGATAGCTGAATATAATGCAGTCTGTCCTTTTTTTATCACATTCATGCGAATGACTCATGACTCTCCCTTCTGGACAAACAGCTTTTTTTCTGGTAACGTAAGATATTAATATAAGCGAGGACCTTGTCACAAAGCCAAGGACTATGCTTGTATTTCTTTAAATTGTTATAAACCTAGATTTTTTGTGATTGTAAATACGTTTTTTTTTTATGTTTCTTTGTTTGTTTAATTGTATAATTAATTATTAGTATATGGTGAACTGACTGGTATGAATAAATATGATTACCCCGTAATCCTAATTTTTTCAGTTCTTCGTTTTATTTGATGTTTTAAAAGTGTCAAAACATGCTGCACAGAAACACGATTACACACGTTAAAACAAAGATTGAATTACTTTTTCACCGCTATACAAAAGAACAATCCCTTAAAGACAAAATATGCAATAGAGAGCGGAACGTATAACGTCAGAATACTGAAAATGGGTTTAATCAATATTTGGGTTTTAAGTGTTTCTATTTTTAATAGATTATCATCATGATAAGCTCGGTTCTTTTTAACTTCAAGTAATCTAGTTGCTCTTTTTAAGGTCACAGTCTATTAATCCCTTTGAGAACCACCTCAGTGGCACAGCGGAATGTCTGCGGTCTTACAACGCTAGAAACCGGGTTTCGATACCCATGATGGGCAGAGCACAGATAGCCCATTGTGTAGCTTTGTGCTTAATTACACATACTAACAAGCAAGACCTTCGAAAAATAACGAATAGTAAGTCAAACTTTCTAGAACTGTCAGTTCGCTATTGTTTTGCAGTGAAGAGTCTACAGCAGGGGTATGTTAATCGTTTGATATAATATGTTCTATACGATTCTTCAGAAAGAGAAAGTACGTTGTGGAATTCACTTTAACCTCTAACATGCAATCCTGGATTAAAATAACCTCACTGCATAATCCGAAATCTCGGTACGTTGTTAATATACTCTGTTTAAGTAGAGGGCGTGGTGGCAGGAAAAGGGGTAACTTCTATTACAATTATTTTTTTTTATCGATAATTTTATAGGCAAAAAAGAGTGTCCTTGAAGAAGGTAAAACTAGTTAATGTGGTGCTCAAGGTTCTCGAGAATTAAGCAGTTCTCCTTGAACTAACCGTGCTAACCTATGCATACTGAAATAAGTCGTCTTAGTTTT